GGACCAGATAACCAGATGACCTCCAGAGATCCTTTCCAACTTCAACCAGTCTGTGATTCTGTGAAAGTACCCAGAGCACAGATATACCCATGGGGAAGGCCCAGAAGATGACAATTCAAAAGACTTCCCATTGGGAATGTCACATGTGGCAGCACACACTGCTTCAAAGGGTCTCTGCTGCCAAAGCTTCAAGTCACACCACCAGGCAGCTCGGAGCAGCACTGCCCACCTCTCGGTTGGATCCAACAGCGAGAAAACAAGTCTTTGAGAACCGCAGCCTGGAAGGCTCTGCAACGTGGTCGCATGCCAACTCCTCGCCCCCAGAGCCAAGCAAAGGCCCAAACACTCTGAAATGGGCAGTGTCACCTGCCCTCCAATGCCTGCAGCCCAGAAGCACACCCACCACCCCAGGCAGAAAAGGAGTCATTTAGAAACAACAGCCACATCTACTGAGACAGAGACTTCCTTAACCGCTTTCCAATGGAGGTTGCTTCCAGGTGCTGGACTGCTGTAGCACAGGACACAAGCTACAGAAACCTTTCACAAGAGGGTCAGACCTCTGAACTAGCACTAGGTACTTATCATTATACCATACATATATGCATGTTAAATGAGCATCCAGTTTAAAAATTCTAATGAGCATTAATTGATGTTGCAAATCAATGGGCCAGGGTCTTACTTTGCTATTAACGCACCTTTATTTTATTTTGACAGCCACCACGATTCCCTGGAAATGTATGAAGTTTCACTGGAAGCAGTGTTCATGCAACAAGACATCAGAAGGCCACCTCCAGACTCCAGATTCAGCCTTGTTTTCTGACCTCCAAGAAGCAATCCTCATGTACACCAGCCATCCCTACACTTCTGTGCTTCCTGTCTGTGAAAGCTTTTACATGCATTTACACGTCCATGCTCATCCTGGAATTAGTGCCCAAGCATGACTGACAATCTCTGCAGAAATTAGCATTTAGGGCACATGGTGGTGGTTTTCTTCAAGAGAAGAAGACTCCAGAACACTAGGAAAGCCGCTTACATAAAATAAAATAGCTCATTAGAAGTAGACCCAATATAGCTTGTTTTCCCTGGGGATTTCTACTGGTTTCCCCTATCCTTTTCTCCATCCCAACTCTCCCCCCCATGTGTCTTCTGAGTAGACACTAGGAAGAGATGGCATTTGCACATGGGACCCACCTGTCCCAGACCCATGTGCTGACTGTCCTGCTGTCTACTACTGACCTGCACACTGGCAAGCTCAGCCTGTTTTTCCTCCAGGCAGGACCTCCACTTGGCCTTTCTCGCTTATGCTTTTCACCAAAAAAAAAAAAAAAAAAAGTATATATATTTATATATATAACTAGCCCTTTTTTTTTCTTCCCCCCACAAATATGGCTAAAAGCAGTGACCAGCTTCCTAACTTACTGGGGCTGACTGCTTAACAGAGCTATCGCATATGCCTTATTTACTTAAAAATCAAGATAAAAACAATACTCAGCCAATAAAAATAAATAAAATACCACAAATAAAATACACCACAAATATCAGGGCCACAAAGGCTGTCAATGGACTGGAGCATCTCTCAAGAGGAGAGGCTGAGAGAGCTGGGGCTGTTCAGCCCCGAGAAGAGAAGGCTCAGGGAGATCTTACCAGGGTGTTAAGTACCTGCTGGGAGGGGGCGAGGACGAGGGAGCCAGACTCTTCTCCGGGCAAGAGGCAATGGGCACAAATTAAACCACGTGGAATTCCATTTGAACACGAGGAAGCACTTTCTCACTGTGAGGGCAGGCAAATGCTGGCACAGGTTGCCCAGAGAGGTGGCAGCATCTCCATCTGTGGACACGCTCAAACTCTGACTGGATGCGGCCCTGGACAACCGGCTCTGGCTGATCCTGCTTGAGCACGGGGTGCTGGACTAAGTGATCTCAGGAGGTCGCCACCAAACTAAACACTGCTGTGATTCCATGAAACACCATACCTTGCAAGCAACAATCACTCTATGTTCATACACAATACAAAACAGATGGAAGAAAACAAACAAACAAAGAACCCGAAAACCTGATGCAATCCCACATCTTCAGTAGCTTGCAGGTCACAGAAAACTAAAACGTTGTGTACTAAGCCCCATAACGAGAGACTGACAGCACGGCCTTATTTCAAGAAACTTCTATTTCCAATCCACTTGCCTAGGTGCTTCTGCTGTCCTCTTTTAGGACAAGTGGAAAAGGTGGAGTCACTCTGCAGTGTTTAGAAAATAAAGCAGTAATTTGCTTTTGGCAAGGACTGTTTTAAAAGATAATATATAGAATCATCTTGGAGAGAGACAGAAGAGTATTGAGAAGGAAAACTTTCCTTTATAGCATTTAGCAAAAGTGAAATGGAAGTTGTTAGAAACAGCCCTAAGTTGACAAAACATACCTATAGAGTCTGTTGTGCACAAATGCACAATTTCTGCATAAAGACAAAACATCAAGACTTGATGGTTCTGCAGCAGTGGTAACAAGGCAACACAATGTACCATTTTATGCCAGAGAACAATGCCCACACTTGTGGTTTCAGTTACTTTGAAATTAATAAACTAATATAAAGTAATTATAACTCATGGTCTTTTGACACGATACTTCAAGAGAAGAACAGAGCAGTTTTTCATCTCCAACTTCCAATCTCTCAGTCTCACTTGAACTGTTGTAATTAACACGCATATGCAGAGAGGAATCAAGACTGGGGTCAAATCCTGTTCCCAGCGGAGGATTCTCCCACTTAAAAGTGAGTATCTCACCCCAAGACTCAAGGCACAGCACAGGAAGCTGAACGCTGCTCAAGAAGTAGGACAGACCTTCCCTGGTTACTATGGGCCCTGCTACAGATCGGGAATCCACATTCTGGTGGGAAAGTAATTTTTCTATTTTCTGATTGTTTACAATTATCTGGTGGACAGCAGAATTCTCTGTAATACATAGATTTTCACCTCCATAACATGTAATTTACCACACAGTAAGCAGCATCTGGGAAACAGGTGCAGGTAAATAATGTATTTTTTGCTATATGCAGAGTGAAATACTAGCCATATAGTCCATACAAGATATTGTAACAGCGATTATGTAGGGGCAGAATACTCATTTGTTATCATGAAAAGCACAGTATCTATCCCTTTTTGGTAGCAAGTCTCCCTACAGACACTTTTTTTTCCTTACTTACATTGAGCTGTGCGTAATGATGACAGAGTATCATCACCGTCGATGCTTTTTAAATCTCAGCAAGCAAACAGTAACCTGCCATGGTTCTTGAGTTTCCTTGCAGGGAATGTAACTGTTGTCTCTACATTTGCTTCCAGAAAACACATCCTGTATCTAGTAAGTCAAGAACAGAAATCCACCCAAGTCCAAAGGTGCAACATCATTCCCACTGGACCATTCCACTCCCCATTTGTAGTCCCATTTTTTTTTTCCCCATAAACAGTGCACTTTTTAAGTTTTATTTCTCAGAAGCTTCAAAATACTGCCTCTATGCAACATTTAATAAGTCAAGTTTCAGGTACTCAGAATAATTTTTCAATCCCTATACGCATTTGAAAGAATTTTAGAGGATAATTGATTAGTCCATTAATACATAATTAAAACACAGTACAAGAACTTTAATTGACTGCCTCTCGCTTTCGCTATTAGTAATGGACCACAAGCGTCCTCCTCATTAAGTTAGCAAGATTCTTGCACGCAATTATTTAGCAACAAGAACACAGCTGCAAAAACACTGCATGGTGCTTTACAGTGTTCTCCAGTTCAAAAGCTATTTCAGTAATTACCCTTTGCCAAATCAGAACTTGACTCTGAGGAAGACTACTAAATCTTCTGCTATTTCTTAGTCTAAAAGATTACAAAAAACCCACTTTTTTAATAAGTTCTGTAGTGAAAAGAGGATAATGTGGTGGTGATGCACTTCTTCCACCATCAATGTTCCATCCTGCTTCACAGACTATCACTTCAAGAGGCTTCACAGTCCTCATTTATCGCCGAAAAGATGCTCTTGATTTCAGCAGGGCCAGTCGTAGATGTAGGAAGGAAACAGTGCAAGTCACATCCCCTTTCTGTTTTGTCTGCATCAGAATCTTTGTAACCCAATGATTTTCGTTCCTTTCCACCAGAGGGGTTTGTTCTTCTCATGATCCACTTTCAAACCCCCCTCCCCCCCCCCAGGCTGAGCAGCTCTAATATGGCTCTCGTGGGAGTGAATCCATAGTCCAGGGAACTGCAGATGCTAACTTTGGAAACTACTTTATTAGGGTTCAAGGTGTAGTTTTGGTAGAAACAAGTTTCAAAAATCTGATGGTATACTCTAATGCTAATTTCTCACTTGAACTAAATAGATTACTGCTGACATTTAAAAAGCGGTATAGCTGCACAGAAATTGTCAATTCTAAGAAGCATTTTTTTAAACCACGAATTAGCATAAATGTCAAGTCCTCTATTGTGTTGTTGCCTTTCTAGAGTGAATTCCCCAAATCCGCAGGACTGCAGCTATTCGCGTGGAGCTTTTTTTCTCCCCGGCTCCTCGACAGGGGCAGACCCCCTGCAGAGGCACCCGCCCGCCCGGTGCCGCGGGAGGAGCCGGCCCGGGCCGCGCACCCCGCGGCCTTGCCCGCGCCAGGCGCAGAGATTCCGCCCGGGGCGGGCAGCGGCAGCCCCGCGCCCCACCCGCGGGCGGGGACACGGCTCGCAGGGCCCGGGCCCGCGCTCCCCTTCCAGAAGGTACCGTCGGCCGCTGCCCCGAGCCCTCCCCCCCCCGCCGCCCAGCCCCGGGCCTGCCGTGAGGGGACCAGCCGGCGCCGGCCCATCGAGGTGACAGAACCGAGGCCTGCGGGTAGGCGGCCCCGCCACAGGCCCCAGCCGCCCCCGCGGGCTCGGCCCACCCGCCCCGCGGGCCCCGCCCGCCGCGGGCCCTGCCCTGCGCGGTGCCCAGTGCCCCCACCCGCCGGGCGGCCAAGATGGTCGCGGGGCGGCGTCGCTCACCTCCTCGGCCTGCTTGCGCAGCGCCTTCTCCCGCTCGTACTGCGTGAGGAGCTGCTCGTTGTCCTCCCGCAGCAGCTCCAGCTCCACCTCGTGCTCCTGGTTGTCGGTGAGCACCGAGTCCAGGTTCTCCAGCACCGTCACCACCAGTGGCATCAGCTCCTTCACCACCTCCTCGTCGTAGCAGTGGATCAGCCTCTCGAACTCGCGGTAAATGCTGTTGGCGAGGCCCGAGACCCGCTCCGACATCACTGACCCCGAGCAATAATCGTCGCCCGGGTACCCCCCCACGCCGCCATCGTCCAGCTGGATCTCCAGCATCCTGCCGGCCCGACCGCCTCCCGCGCCGCTGCCGCTGCCGCCGCCGCCGCCGCCGCCGCCGCTGCCGCCGCCGCCGCCAGGCCCCGCCCCGCCCACCGCGTCACGGGCCGCGGGGCCCGGCCGGGGCGGAGCGCGGCGGCGCCTGTCCCCGCGCGGGCGGGACGCCCGTGTCGGGGCGGGGGGCGCAGCTCCGCGGGCATCGGCGCTTCTCCCGCCGCAGAGGCGCGAGGCCCCTCCGCGAACGGCACCGGCCCGCCCGAGCCGCCCCCCGCGCGCAGAACGAGCCCACCCGTGGCCCTCTTCCTCCCCCCACGGCCTGTGGCCAGGGGACGGCGGTGAAGCGTCAGCCGCACGCAGGGGCTGCGCGCAGTGCACAGGAGCTTCACGCGTGGCACCCCGGCGCTGCAGAGCGTCGCACGGCAGAGGTGCGGGGAGCGCGGGCAAGATCCAGCTCGCAGGATGCAAATCACGCTGCGTGCCGGAAAGCCATCTTCCCCGGGACCCGCGGCAAAGACTCGGAAAGTGCAGCTCTGTGCTTTGGCCCATTCGGTTCACCCTCACTAAAATTCAAACCTGGGTGGCCACATCCTGATCTGGACCCCAAAACCAAAGGATTTTAGGGAAAATAAGTTGCCCCCAGCCACGATATGTTAACAAGCTACAAACCAGAGAGGCCTTCAAAGTAAATGATCTGAAGGTCACAAACAAATCAATTCTTTCCTGTTTACACTCTCAAATTCTGCGTCATCTAATGAAAACATAAGAAATGTTACCTGACCTGGATGTTGTTGAATCTGAGGCCTGATCTAGAAGGACTCTTGAGGGAGGGGGACAGTTTCCAGCCAGAAGAATGTTGGAATTTAATGTTGCAACCCAATTATTAATGAAAGACCTCCTAACACCTTCAGACTTTCAAGTCTCTTCCTAGTATCTATGAAAATCAGAGCACTCCTTTGCTCTGTACATGTTAGTTGCTTCTATTTACTTAACTATATTTCCAAGATAAGGCAGCAATAGTTACTACAGTGAAAGGAGACAAGGACCTATTCAGACAGGGATGAACTGGCAGATAAAACCAGAGGCCAAAAGTAGCCATCTTAAGTCCTAGAAAAAAAAAAAAAAAAAAATTCAGCAACTCAGCCCTTGAAAGTAGCAGCACAATTGCAAAAGTTTATCACTAGATTTCTGTAAGCAGCAGTACACTCTCAGATTTGAGAGGCAGACTCCAGCATCCACAGCATAGATTACTAAAAGGCAAATTGATGCATACGATACTAATTTATGTAATACAGAGTCTAACAATAGGGTAGAAATGGGAAATACTGCTCCAAAATGGCTATGTTATCAGCATCCCCCAGTTCTCACTGATGTGATGAGAACATTTCATTATGTTGTTATTCATCTCAGTACCCTTTTGCAAAATATCCTTGTGAATAATCCACTTGTGAGAGATACTGCTTTTTGGGTTCTTAGCTGAGAAAGTAGATTCTGGAACATCAAGGACATACTTCACTATTCTTAACAAAGAAAAAGCAAATTAAATTCTTCACATATATCTAAAATTCAAATGCTTCTCATTTAGCCATTCTAATTAGAAATCAAAATTGTTTACAAGCTAGGTAAGTGGTTTGCGTCACTGGAAAAAATAACATAGGCAAATAAGAGATTTATTAATTAGCCAAGATGTTACTCTCGTTAAAAAAAAAAAAAAAATCAAGCCCTAAGAAAGATTTTATTATAAGCAAAATAACTGTTCAATTACCTTATGATCAGAAATATTCAAATAAGGTATCTCTAATGTTCTCTGAAGGATTATTTATTTCCACTTTCAGGGGATTTCCAACTAATTGAAATGTAAATCTAAACCACAACTGTTGCAGGTTTATTGTGATAGTTGCCATTTGTAATTTTCTAAGCAAAATATTTAAAAGTTACAGGGCAAATTTATGCATAGGAAATATGACCAAATCACTCTTCAGGAGTTAAACTTTCCTTTGTAGCGCCCCAAATTCCACTCCTCTGGTACTCAACTGCCTTTCAGCAGTGTTTACTTCTGTCTATTTTAGGGGTGCAGAACAGCCACTGAGAACTCATAAGCCAGGAAGAACAGATGGCCAAACTGATATTGCAGTAAGATTTCAAATATTAGGGATGCATTTTTTCATCACTGGGGCAACACTTCTGCCTGAGCCTAACAAACAGATGCAGGACTTCATGCCAACTGCGGTAATTTCTGTTAGATGCATATATATTAACACCCAGGAAACTACAGTGTGGCTACATTTCGGGTGCCATTCATCCAAGTCCAGTCTTACTTCTTCTTCCTCAGATTTCTACAATTCAAGAATAGACACTTAAAAAACCCCAGTCATTGGACAACTTAGGTGTTTAGGATCTTAGAACTTTAAAGCTGTCACTTTAAAAAGCTCTATAACTATAGAGCTTTTCCTGCAGAATCAATTAGTATTTTGTACAGTGCTTTTTTAAAATTAAAAGGAAAATGGCTAAAGAGAAGCTAAGAGAACTATACAGCCCATTTATTATAAGGAAATGTTTTCAGTTTGGGTAGTAAAACAAGGAGACCACACAACTGCTTAAATTAACAGCCTAAAATCAGAAATAGGTTTTCAGATTTAGTATAATAACAATACTGAAAAAGGCTGAAAAACTTGGGTAAGAAAGACATACCTGTTTTATAACACCACTGAAATCTGCATTTTGCAATACAGCAGTATTTAGACTAAACCAAGATAATTTAACAGGTCTGATTTTGTAATCAAGCAACACTTTACAGCAGTAAAGACTTGTTTGTATCTTTCTAGCTGCCTTTAAATAGTTTACATCACTAGAGTCCCAATTATTGGATTTGATTAGACAAACTGAACAAATCAAAATATAGATAGTCTCCAAATTTCAACTGGGCAAGGCTACAACCAATAGTGTAAACACCGTGACAAAAAAGGGGATATGCTCCCAAGTTATATATGATTGTGTTGTTCAGAGGCAAATTCAATGGTTCAGTCACCTAGAATATCATCCCAGATATTAGTGGTTGTTATTAGGCATGGCAATAAAATTGGCATGATAGAAAACAACGTGGAACATTTTGCTCACAGATGAACTGAGACACCCACTTCCATTTCTATGGATGTGTCATAAAACAAGTTTCCCTATCTAACAACATCAAATAAGCATACCCAATGTAACCTTCTGATTCTGGTGACTCATATGCTCCTCTAAACATGGGAAAATTATATTTAATCTGAATCTCCAATTTACTAAATATCTAGAAAAGAAATACCCACTAAACCAGTATGCTAGTACTTATATGTAGCTATTTCCCCTTCATACATGCAATGAGTACTAAATCAGATAAATCCAATTGGTTTTTCAGAAACTGTCAGATGTAGTGAAGAAATATGTACTACTTTCAAATAGGTCCTCATTTAAAAAGATATAATAGTGTAATTCAGATCTTGAACTTTTTCTTAAAAATTTTTTTAATTGCACAAATGAGTGTCCTCATGCTTTTGTAAACAGACAAATTTAACATAGTTTTACATGGATTTAAATGTTGCCTTCATTGGAATTTACAGATAAATTTGTTTTCTTAGCATGTACAGGGAAAAAAAAAAAAAAGTGAAACAGAAGATTAAAGTGAATTGCTTACTTTCATGGAAGAGAAGTGAGATCATCCTGGTCATAATGTAATCAAAAAATTATCCACAGTACCAACAGGAAAATGTTTCTATAGCCCATGCAAAGTAAACAGAGCTTAAGGTGGATGAAATTTTCATCACCTAAACAGGGTCATTTTTTTTTTAATCATTAATAGTAAATAAAGTAGCATGTAAAACTCCAAGTACAAGCTACAACAGCAGCATACTAAACACTAGACAAACTGAGGCAGTAAGGCAAAAAAGGCCCCATCTAGAACAATCTTGTGATCAAGGGAGAAAAAACTAGCAAAAAGTCTTGAAAAAATATGGGCAACAGGGAATTTTCCCATACAACAAATGAAAACTAAATACTAAGGCAGTCAGTTGTATGTAGCAGCATATGTATGGGCATATTTGACGAGATGAACAGTGGGTTCAGTTTTGGGCCCCTCACTACAGGAAAGACATTGAGGTGCTGAAGAGCGTCCAAAGAAGGGCAACAAAGCTGGGGAAGGGTCTGGAGCACAAACCCAGTGAGGAGCAGCTGAGGGAACTGGGGTGGGTTAGCCTGGAGAAAAGGAGGCTCAGGGGAGACCTTATGGCTCTCTACAACTGCCTGAAGGGAGGTCGTAGCGAGGTGGGGGTCGGTCTCTTCTCCCAAGTAACAAGTGATAGGACAAGAGGAAATGGCCTCAAGTTGTGCCAGGGGAGGTTTAGGTTGGAAAATTAGGAAAAATTTCTTCACCAAAAGTGTTATCAAACATTGGAACAGGCTGCCCAGGGAAGTGGTTGAGTCATCATCCCTGGGGTATTTAAAAGGTGTGTAGATGTGGCACTTAGGGACATGGTTTAGTGGTAGACTTGGCAGTGCTAGGTTAATGGTTGAACTCTTAGAGGTCTCTTTCAATATTAAAGGTCTCTACCAACCTAAATGATTCTATGATTCTATATCCTGCAAGCAGAACTTGAGTGGGATTACAGCAATATAAGTATTAATGACTTCTGTAAGAAATAACTGTCTTTGGTATGTACGAGTCCACAGATCCACAGCAACATACTCAGTGACTCCCATTTCATAACCACTAATCAGGTCTTACACCTTCTTGTGAATATTGTCTCTGGTTTAGGGAGGGAAGAAACTGAGGCAAAAGTGTTAAATGGACCCATAAAGACCACATAGGGAAGGACTGTTAGAGCTAGGGTTAGAGCAAAGGAGCTTTTGAGGGCTAAATGCAGATCCAGACTCTGCATTTGACCTGTGTTTCCATCCTATGGCAGTGTGAAGCACTGCTGTGGCCGACAGTCTGCCTTAGTGCACTGTAGCTTCCTGATTTTAATAGAGTTGTTAAGGTAGGGGAAATGCCAAAAGATTTGTGCTTGGATAGGGACCAGCTATT